ATCTCGACCATATACGTACACCAGAAAGTATTTCGAGAAAAAAAAAACAAAGAAAACCTTGAAACTGATCTATGTTGAGGAACTCTATGTATATGTGTATATTTATATAATAGATATCGTTGATATACAATCATGACTCAGATATTACCCATCAAGGGAAACAAGAAGAAAAAGAAAACAAAAAGCACCACAAGATCTTACCTATATGGAGAGATGCGAGGGGTGGTATAATAAGCTGAAAACGATTCGTACTCAAAACCCCGATCATAACAGGAGGAATGACTAAAGAAACTATCAAGTTAATCTGATTGCCATTTCTTGGAGGAGCGCTCGCTTTTGTGTAGCATTTATTACATTATTAGATTCAGCACTCTCCAGAACATCAGTGACAATTGCAGCTGCATGACCGAGAGGCTCCTCAACTGCTCTTTTCAACATGAAGGCCTACAAAGGTTTTTTTCCAATATAAATTCAAACCATTACAGAGCTTGAAGATAGGTACTTTAAAGCAAATTAACGGAAAAGTGTCAGATCATAACAAGTGAATGTAGAAACAGAGTGCTAAACTATACGTAAAAGTGGATGTTTGAGAACAAGCCTCTGCTCACAACATAAACAGATCACCAACACAAACAGATCCAAGGAACTATTAGATTCACCAAAGCCAATTCTTTGGAATCAAATGTTTGAAACTGATTAGGCTGCACCACCAGATTCTATAATATGGCCTTAGCTAGCTGGTGTTATGGTTATGGCTTTTTTTTATGCTTGTTTTTGGTTCATTTCTTAATGTGTTGCTGTTTTAGGCCACGTTCTTTGGTTGGCTGTTGATTTTTTTCTCTTTTATCCCTCAAGAGAAACAATTTGCATCTTTTCGTCTATCAATGAAAAGTGGTTTGTTGTTCAAAAATATAATATGGACTTAGCCAAGGCTCATAAAACGTCATTTATATGCCTTACTTGCATTAACAGTAGAGAAATATCATGCATGATTTTGTTTTTTTTCCCAGGAAGAGGAGAGGGAGACTATGCATGATATTGCACAAGTAACTAGCCCCACGAGGGAGATGAAAGAAGGAGAGAACAAGAGTAAGACCTGTCCATGATGGGATATAACTAGAGTACACTGATTCTGAAACCAGGGCTCGCCATCAATTTGAACAGGCAACGAAGCACACAATTGTATCTTAATCGACTGGCCTTGTGCAAGTCTTCTAGCTCGAGAAAGCCCCACCTGTTTCAAAAAGAAAGTAGAAACTATGAAACATCCAACCCAGGGGGGTGCAACGATACTCTACGTATGAACCTCGTCCCTTGCCCAATTCCAACCACTTCACGTAATTATCGCTCTGATGACCTCTAACATACGATCCAGGATTGATACATGACCTGATACTAAGACAGCCTTGCATGACTTTACCATCCATTTTGCTGGAAAATAACATCTTTATAAAACCTGATTGAAGCTAAGAAATTACATAACTACTTACTTTCAGCTTCATGCTCGAAAATAGAATAACTGAAATATGCATACAACAAACTCCACCCTTAGACCCACTAAAGTCCTAAGGTCAACCCATTATTATGAGAGCAGAGCAGAAAAAGACATGAAAACGCATCATTACACGTGAAGACTAGAAGTAGATTCATCCTACATAGATCCATCAAATTTGGTATCTTCGGCAAATGGGCATGATAGCACATGGGGACAGGAAAATTAGTTTGAATCAATGTATACCTGTAGCTTCCCAAGGTGCCAGGTTCCCGATATGCTGACAACCTCGAGTACTTTATCATGCATGGACTGTGGATCAAAATTATCAAAAGTTTCATCCTCATTATGCCATAGATCCACACCACCCATGTAGCTTCCAATGTTCGCAACAAGTACACCTTCTGCATCCTGAAATGTTCAAATTAAAGGTTTAATTAATCGACCTCAAGTAAATAATTCAGGACGGTTGGAAGAATTCACACTTGTAAACTAAAATGTATAATCATGATATTGAACATCATACTAAAACTTCTCAATAATAAAAAAAATATAGTGACGTATTGACAATTTAGTTATATTTTCAGAATTAAATAATTCAAAGTTAAGTTCTCACCTCAGGAACCTCTACCTCCACACCATCCACTTCCACCCGAACTTGCCATGGAATATCTGCAAATGTCCTGTCCATTATGCTCTTGGCTCCTTCTCTTGCATAAAGAACTTTATTCATGAACTGTAGTAACGTAATAGTGTCAGATAAGTGATATGAACTACCCAAATGAACTTAGTCATCTGGAATAGGAGGAAACATTGTAGTAGCAATAATAAACAATTTCAACAAGTCGCCTAAATCAGAGACACCAAAGAAGAAACAGCTAGCAATAATTTCTGCAAATTTGGATAAATATAAAACCTAAAAAATAGAAGTTCAATGCATAAGAGATGCCTGTGGTTTTGCAAAATGCACAAGATTGACTTGTCCTCATTGAGAAAGCATGCAAGCATGTGCAAGTCAACTGCAAGCATGCTCTCTCAGGATATCTATTTATGGGCATCACTTAGAAGAAGGTAAAATAAAATAATAGACATCATTTATAAAAGGAAAAGCCAAAGCAGAGTACAACAGAAAGAAAAGTATTGAGAATAGATTATCTCTAATAGAAGTGGTCAATTTATTCAATGCATAAGTTACATATACACTATAGAAGTAAAATCAAGTTTGTGTTAGGTCATACATGTAAATTTGTTAGATACTTATGCAAGTGCAGTCAGGGAGACAAATTTCTGAACTACGATATTATGCCGACGACTTACTAATAGAAGCAAGTATCCCATCGAGATCTCTACCATACAGTAGTAAATTCTCTCAGGTTCCGTAAGATGTTCACCGTCCATTATACCATTGTTTTTTGGCAACAAAGAGTTTGAAAAATAGCCATCAAACAAAGGAAATAAATGGTCATAAAATGACCCACGTTTAATAATGCAAGATATCACTACACAAAATAGCAAGCTGCCTTTCCTTTCTCAAAACAATAAAACCATACGATATGAGAAGTTCTACTTGTAGTAGCAGCCATGCATGATTGCAGTTATGGTCAGAACGACTTAATGTCATGGATTGTTTTCAAGTTATGGTTACCTTTAATTCTACAATTTACATCACCTGGTTATAAAATTTTTCTGGATTTTCTTCCCGCAGATTATGAATATCAAGAGCAACCTTAGCATCACATCCAATTCCTGCATTTGGGGGACAAATTGGTAATAATGAGTAAAAAACAAGCAAAGAGAGAAATTAGAGAAGAAGAAAGATGCTACGAGGGCTCCATACAAGAACCCTGAAGAGAAGACATGCAGTTCAAATGTGCCCTGAAGTCGGTCAAAGTTAATACCAATATCTTAAATACAGAAACACTATCAAACCTATTCACATACCGAGATAATTATTCATAAATTGTGGGGATTTGAGTTGCTTCCCTTGTTGATCCACTATCGCCACCTTCCAACGGTCAAGAACAGTCACTGCAGCATTTTCTACATGATGCAAGACTGTGCAAAGACCCCCCTGTCTCTCCACTGAGCCCAAACCACCACCCCAGTTTAATACTCTAGCCAGATCATTTCCTGTTCCAGCAGGAAGTATAGCAACTGGAGGAGGAGAAACAAAATTTTGCTTGTCTATACAGTTTAGGACCCAACCAACAGTTCCATCGCCCCCACATACAAGAACCTTAAAGTGTGGCACTTTTCTGAATAAATAAAGACCAGATTCAGGACCTTGGGCAGAGCTCAACTCAAAAACCTGAAATGTTAGCATACAGTCCATTAACCTTGTAAAATATTTAACATGCAGTGAAAACAATCCTCCAAAATTTTGGAAAGGTTGGAGAATTAACCCTACACATTTGGAACTTTTCCTTTCTCATAAAAACATTTCTTATAGCACAAAAAAATATATCAGTCACTTAAGAGGATTTCATTGACCTCAATAGTCTTTTCGATTGACCCAGACATACATGCTCCAACTTCCACCAAATTCCAAAAGGAAATGGAAGTTGTGAACAAACTATACACAAGACATTGTTGGCTGCCTCATCAATCATGAAGTATCCAACAACTAAGAGTACAGAGCATGCTGAGAAAATTAATTTGCGCTATAGCATACAACCGTCTACTTCTAAAGATAAAGCCAAAATTGAATAGAGTGGAGAAAAAATCATACCTGGGCAGGATTCAAAAGCATGTTTAACCGTTGTTTGAGAGAATCACCACGGCGGGCTCCACTCTTCTTGTTGATAAATACTAATAAGGGACGTGAATCAGGAGGCAGTTCAATTACCTCATATCTAAGTTTCAATCCTAATATATGAGATTCATCCTTCTGATTGACTGCAGAACTTCTTTTGAAGTTTTGATTTGAACTATTTTTACCATCCATATCACCATTTTGATGTTGAACCTCTGAAGCTGCACTACCATTACAGTTTCTCTCAGTTCCATGATAACCATTAACTCTGTGATGAGCATCAGCTGTGCTTTCAGTAGACATATCACAAGTACTACCAGTTGTTCCTGTATCAATAGATGGTTTACGACCATGTTTGTGCTTCTTACCCTTACTCCTTATACTAGCACGCACTGATGATGCAATCTCATTTGCTCCATGGGTGATGGAGCTCAAAAATCCACCTGAGGACGTCCTAATTGACTCCTTCACATAAAGCGGTGAGAGAATCAACCTTCTAAATGAACCTAAATCACAAATATCACCTGTTTCATTACACATACTACTATGGCAATCCACATGCACTAGACGTTGGCACCATAAGCAACACCATATTGGAGAACCCCCTAGAAAAGACCCACTACATGGTTCTTCGCAGTAGCTACAGAAAGAAGTTTCATCAGGTTGGTCAGTAATCTCAGTCCACCGAACAGCCCATTGGTGCATCACATGCTCAAAGCCAATCATAGATACACACTTGCAATCCTTTTGAGCACCAGAAGAACAACTCAGGTGAGCTGCAGCACCACAAATGCTGCAACAGTGAATAAAACTGTCTGAAGCGACCATAGGACCGAGAGTTTGTGAAGGGGACATAAACCTTAAGCACACACAACAATTCAAATTCTTTCCACGAGATACAGATTCTAGAATCCAGTCGTGAGCAGCTACAGGAACTTTATTAGTCTTTTTGGGGTTTCTCTTCGACCTGGCTATAGCTTTCATCCAACCTAGATTGATATTTCTCCGCCACTGAAAGGCCGTAAAGGCTATTGTCAAAATTCCAATGATAGCAGCAATAAAGCAAGAAATAATAAAAAGACGATCAGTTGGATTTTTGCTGTTCCAACTAGGGAACAGCAATCCAATTTCACTGTCCTCGTCCATATCTTATTCTCGAATATGAGAAGAGAATCATCTAATGACTGAAACAACTAATTTGGCTCCAGACAGAGACAAACGGCCAGTTACCACCCAAACTCCGAAGTAATCCAATTTAAACGATGAAGCTAATTTCAACACTTTACTCAACTTAAGCGACTCGGTAATGACATTGTTAACTTAAATGTGGTACCCCGAAATAAAATGCTTTCACATCTCAGTATCACGGATGTCAACCCGACCAATTCCGGGAGTCAAAATAAAATATTGACAGGCAAGCGCATATTTCCTGAAAAAAGTGAAACAATAAAATGTTTTAAAAAAGCCTTGCCGGCGTGAACGCTGTAATTAAAAAGATAGAAAAACAAGCACGTTTAGAGCTATCATCAGACAATGAAATTCGAATGTAAGCCTAAGAATATTTTGAGTTCAAGGTCATATCAAATTCTAGAAGAAGATATTGAAGGGAATATACCAAAAATTACAAATTTTAGGATTAACGAGAAGAAGGTCTCAACAGTATGTTTATTGTCAAGAAGGAAAGTAATTACAAAGGCTAAGTCAATTAATCGAAACGTGAATAATAAGCAAAAGAAGAACTCAACAGAGGTTAACAGTATTTGGATAAAAGAAGAATCTAAGTTCGAAAACCACCAGACCAGCAATCCCAATGTGGCGCTTAGCAGCTAAGAATCGTAGCAGAAAAAAAGAAGCAGCAAAAAATATTAAAGTTCATACCAAACTGCCCGGAAACCTTACTAAACGTGTTCTTAGCTTCCTCTCAATACCAAAACGAGGGAAGAAGAGAAAGAACACACCAATTCATTTAAAAAACTACACGCATAGAGCGCTGAAAATGGACACACAAGAACCTCATGACAAATAAAACTTACTGTAAACAACAAGTGAATAAGAGGGAGGATCAAACGCCCCGATCACAGAAAACCCTAAGTCGATCTTCAAAAAGTATAAACGCGCTATTCCTTCAATCAAAGGAATCGTAGCAAAACCCAAATCCGAAGCTTTCGATGTCGGGGGAAAGGTACGGATTTGAGAATTTCAGATGGAAGTCTCGCTCTCTCTCCTTTCTTTTCTTTTTTTTTTTTTTCCTCTCTCTCGCTCTCTTCTTTTTTTCTTTAATTTTTCAAATCAAATAAATTTTAGAATCTTTAATATTTTGTTTCCAAATTTGAGAAATACAGATTCCATAAAAGAATCTTCTCCTTGGCAGAGGGCCTCTGGGTCCCACAGATACTTTAGACGTGGCACGTTTACACTCCGATAGCTGGACCTTTCGATGGCGACACGTGGGACTCACTCTCTCGTGTGAATCCCGCGGTGACTCAGCGTCTTCAGATTAATTTCATACTCCGTCTCATAAAAGGTTGATTTTCTTTTTTGAGAACAAAAAAATTGACTTAACTTCATACCTTTCCTTTAAACATAAGTATGACATTAAGTCAAATCTTTTTTATTTAATATTAAGGAATTTGAAACTTCTTATCTCAAATTCTAATAAAAAGCATATCCCTTATTTATATTTAAAGCATGTCAATTTTTTTTTAATTCGAATATATAAGTTCACGATATGTATTAATGAAATCTATAATCTTTTCATGATATGTATTAATGAATTCAGCATTCAAAATAAAATTTAAGTGAATTTATGGAGAATTTTAAACTTTTTATTTTTATAAATATAATTTTGTTAGGAAATTTATTATATAAATTTAAATATTGTACACAAATGTTGAAGTTTCATGCTAATTCATGGAGTTTATAGGTCGCCTGTTAGATGTTACAAAATTAAAAAAAAAAAGGATAATAGGAAAAGAGGCATTTTGTCGTTGTTGTTGAATCTTTTTTCTTTTTTTTTTTATTTTAGTAACGTCATTCCGTTTTCATTCTTTATTAAATAATTTTCACCCATTTTTGTCGGCATTAATTATGGATAAGATAAGATTGGGCATGATGGGAATAATAAATAAAGTCTCCTTTCTTTTTGGGGGTGCATAATTCACTTTATCTAAAATTCAAATTATGATCAAAATTATATACTTTTAATATCTATGATCTTGGATCGGCTACCCTCTAAATTTAAATAGTTTTAATAAAGGACAAGTTCTCTGTCCCGGTTTTCAATTTTCTAATGGTAAATATAATTTACCAACAATTCATTTATTTTGTTTTTCGTTATTTTTAATTTTAAAATTGGTTTAAAAGAGAACCATAATCATCACTTAAACAAGCAATATTAATTTGCATTTGAAAATTGTTTAAACAAAATATGGCTGTGTTTGAATGCCAAATTTATTAAAATTACTCAAATTTTTGTCAAACCAAGTATAGCTCAACCAAACAAGATACTAATTACTATCCTTAAGATCAATAGTTCAATCTTCCGCTCCCAAATTGTTGAACTCAAAAAAATTTAATCCTATGTGTATAACTCCTTTTTATGTTTTAGGATCCTAAGCAACCTGATTTCAGGTGATTTGCTCCCTAACAAGAGGATGAGTTTATATATAATACTCAATGAGAATCTTGACAAAATAGATTTGTACTTATTTCTCACTGTAAATTAGGAAACGGAATATTAGGGCATAGCAACAAATCCCCAACACAACTTTTTCTTTTTAGAATATAACCCCAACACAACTCAATGGTTGTTATTCAGTCAACCCAAATCTCTACACTAATTTCAAAATGCACCATCACGTTCATCCATCCATTAAATATAAAACGAATCCTAAACAATAAAATATACTTTTAACTTTTTGAAAAACAAATTAGAATTATGAGATCTCGTTTGATAAGAAAGTCAAATATTGTTTGATATCTCAAATTGCTAACTGGTTGAGATTAGTGGGGAAATGACAAACAAAAAACGGCTCCAAGAAATAAAGCACAGAAGGGCATGGTACCTTTGAAACCTCTGGAGGAATTGACCAAAATAACCACAATGCCTCTGGGTAGACTGGATACTTGAACCAAATCCAAGAACAGATAGATCATGATAACACAACACAACAAAAATGATGATTGGGATAGAATAGAATTAAAAATAAACACTTGATAATATTTTTATTACTTCAGCTAAAATACTGATAAGGATTTACAATTTTTACATGTAACGCCAAATAATCTGTAAATTGAAATATCAGCACACTAACTTCGAGCCCAACTCTGTGCCTCCACATCTAACACTCATTTTTCTTTTTCCTAAATAAGAAAGGCTAAAAGGTTTAAATCATGAATGAAACCCAAACAAGTACAATTAATACCTGGGTTTAGGGATGGATGCATGGAGACCTCTGGAAAACAACTGCACTTCTTCTGCCCTCCCATTTGCAGGAAAAAAAGAAAGACAGAGCATTGCAATTTCTTTTGTACATTAAGTGTGAAGGGACCTATTTATATTACTCAAAATGACATCAATGACCTAATTGGCACATATCTAACAGCCTCAATTGATTTCAAGGAGATAACTTAGAAATCATTTTCTCTCTGACATTCCCATTTGTATGGTTCTATTTGTGAAGCATATTGACTATAAGTTGAAAGAAAATCGACCAGAGAAGCATTAGGGATGTAGAGATAATTGGCCGACATGAACAAAATCAATCAATTAATAATTAAAGTGAAAGACATTGTACCCTGTCAGGAAGATTTCTAGGAATGGGAAGTGCAGTAACATATCTCTGGGGGCAAGATTTCTGAGAACCTGTGGTTACATCAGAGGATGATGAGGCCTCACCCCCATCAACTTGTCCTCGGCTATGGAACTTGGCAAACCGATTGATGACAGAGAACTTCTCAAGCTCCTGGCATTCCACTCTCAAATCTAAAATTGAAGCTCTCTTCTCCACTCTGGCATAGGAAAAGCAGCTTATTAACAATTTAAAGCAAAACGCATGAACGAGACAGAAAACCAAATAAAGCCAGTAAACAGAGTAACGGCAGCAACAGCAGACACCAAAATCTGAAAGAACACAATACGATTGAGAAGCTGAAACAATAGAAGACTAGACTTAAAAAATCGAATAATTTACCAAAAAAAAAATAATCAAATCCAATGCAAGACATGAAAGCTACCTCAATAAATCATTTTCCATCTTCTGCACCCGACTCATGAAGTCCTCCACAACTTCTATAAATTTATGATCATCAGTTCTCCCAGATACTTTAGGTCTCTCAGGAAGGCTAAAATGAAGAAATCAAAAAACATTATATTATTAAAACAATGTACATCCTATCATCCTTGCGACATTCAAATTTTAAAATAACGAGGAAAATTCTTACAGATTTCTGCTTTCTGGATGCAAAACATTATCAGTTCCTGTTGAAGGAACTATATTACACGCATCCCCTAATGCTAGCCTAGAAGCAAGGTAAGCCATACTCTCATAATGTAAGCTGGCATCAGAAGAGAGGGTGGCAGAAGGAGGAGAACGAATGAGTTGTTGAACTAGCTGTGTGTTCAAGTTAAGCCTCCTCTTCAGTTTAATCATCATTCCATCGTCAATCATTTCAACTTCATCTTCTTTCTGTCAAAGGGTTGAATGTGACGAGAATAATTTATTTTAATAGAATAATAACTCTGACCAAACCAGAAATCTGTAATAACAAACGTTATATACTCAAGAAGAACGTAGTTTTACAATAAGGTATACCTTCTCAATCAGCCGGTTGGTTGCCTGAGCCCAGTCTACATCTGCCATGCTGCAGATAGAAAATAGCAGTCAGCATACATAAGAACAAGCATTAAAAAGACAATAAATAAATAAATCAAGCAACATGCTAAATGCAAAAATTCAACCTTTCACAAAGATAAATATCCGTGCAGGATGAAGAACGTGAACCAACTTGATAAGAACAAAAATGGATCACTTTTTAGTTTTTTGAAAATACAGAAAATAGATTGTGGTGTGTAAATCAGCAAAAGAAAAGGAGAAAAGAACCGTAAGAAAACATTTTAGTTGTGTTCTAAGGGAAAGAACAACCTTATATCCTGAAGCCTTCTAAAACTTTGAGTCATTTCTTCATTCCATGGTAAAAGTTCAGGTGCAGAGCTTTTGCGCTTTTTTGGTCTTACAGCAGCCAAACTCTGATTAATGAAATCAAGTGGTAACGGTTGACTGGAAGATAAATTTCTGTGTTCTATTGTCATGAGAGTTGAACTATCCTGTGCATTATTATGCTCGCTACCATCAGCAGAAGCATTTGCTTGCTTCACAAGATTTTGAGCAATGAAACCATCGGCTGGCTTTTCAACAATCGAAGGTTGATCCAAAGACTTCATGGTTACACTTTTAGATCCAGTAAGTACTGTTAACGTTTGTCCATTTTTAAAGGTTCCATATTGATCAAACCAAGATGGTGCCATCTGAGGACTAATTTGAGAATGCTCGCCTCTCACACATGATGCAATGTCATTACTAGATGATACATAGGCATCCCCTTTCTTTGATGAAAAATTTACCGAAGTTGCATCTACACGTGAAATCGAAGCATGGTTAAGTAATGACTCTCTGACAGCGTTATTGTGTCCATGAGATAAAATTTGACCTCCATCCATAGCAACCTGCTGAGAATCTAAACCACCATCTGGACCTTTAAATCTCTTCCCACTCCTGTTAGATGGATCATTATCTGCACTTTTCATGGTCTGCATTTGATGCAGTAATGAGTAATGGTGTTGCGAACTAATATTTGGACGCAAAGAATGACCAAAAGTGTCCATATTTACTCGAGTAGCCATAGAATTGGAAGGAGATGCACCTAATGAGTGATTTCCAGCAGATTCCAGTCCACCTGATGCACTTATGGCCTGCATGGAAATTTCACTCTTCCCACCTGAAACTTGCTTGCCCGGACTTTCTTGCATTTGTTTTTCTCTCCCAACAATATTTTGCATATTCACAGAATTTTCACCAGGGGGCATAGCCTCTAGTTCCAATTTCTCTCTACTGTCAATTTTTTTGGGTCCAGAAAAACTCTTATCTGAATTGTCCATATGCATATGTGATTTAAACAAATCTGAGGCAGCTTTATGTGGTTCTGCAATTAGTGAATGTTTCTGGGTTGTGACATTTGCCCACTCATTAGAAGAGAGTTTTGAGAAGGCAGCCCGTTGAGACATAGGTACAGAACCCAATTCCTGCGCAAGCTGGGTGGGATTTTGTACATGAGATTTATCGCCACTGCTTTGCTGAGAGGACAGGGATGTGTCAGCGGAAGAAACAAGGTTCATTTGGAGGCTTCTGGAAATATCCGTTGACGCCATTGGAACATTCTCAACACGCTCACAAGAATCCTCAAAATTTCTTGAATGAATACCAATTCTATCTGAAAACACATTACCAGAGTGATTGGAAACTGGGTGCTGATTATGAAAATGATTTCTAGGATAAGGAAAGGCAGATTGAGAAACTGCAGCCACGTTTCCTTGAGGATTGATATGAGGGATTTTATTGCCACTGTGTCCAGAAGTACCAGTTACATTATTCCTTAAATCCCTCTGTCTAGAGGCTACAGGAGCCAACAACATATGACCACGTTCTCCTATTTCAGAGGTAGATTGGGTTGAACTCATAACCATGGGTGAGGAACCATGAGAAGATAGAGCGGCATCTTGCATGGACAAGCGTTGAGGAGGACCCAGTTGTAAACCAAAAACTTGAGAATCAGAGGATTGATTTCGCGGTGTTTGACCAACTGATCCATCAGAAGTTTCAGCTTCACCCATTTCAGAAGAAGGATTTCGGTAAGAGGGACTGTGTGTTGCATTACCATGTTCTCTTGGTTGATCCACTTTATGGAGAAGCTCAAGCATATTTTGGCTGAAAATAAATAATGAGAAGGACTTTACTTAAATCATCATTCAAATTGAAATATACAGTCCAAAAACACAAACATTCACGCACAAATTCAATCCTTTGTTAAGAAATCAGATGAAAACCAGATACAAGGTAGGAAACAGAACTCGTCATATCCTAAACCAAAATACACAAAATTAAGGGGAACTTCCTTTGAAAAGGAAATTTGAAAATTTTAAGCTACCATATGATCCGATCTATTAAATTGTCAAGATCTGTTTTTGACTAAATAGTTAAAGCAACTCCGGTGAAACACTGTTCAAGTTATGTCTTTGTTTAATAAGAAATGAAACTCTCAATATTGAATCACTGAGTACAAAAGAAAGGAAGGGACGGTAAGATATCCACCCTAACCAAGCCAAGAAGATTACTCGAATAGTTAAAAAGGTTTAAATCATATTTAGTCCCTCAAATTTTATGCATATTTTATTATGGTCCCCAAACTTCCAAACATTCTATGTTAGTCCCAAAACTTGGCATAAAAAACCAATTTAGTCCTTGTAATTTTTTTTATAAATTATTCAACAGAATCTAAACATAGGTGATTGGCTGATCAAATATACTACGTTAACAAATATTTGAAGCCAGCCGTAGTAGAAGTGTCAGGCTTTAGATTTTTGTTAAATAATTAGTGAAAAATTAATGACATGACTAAAATAACTACTCGTTCAAAGTTCAAGGATTAAAACAATACATTTGAACAAAAACATAATACTTTAAAGTTTATGGACCAAAAATAAATAAAAATGAAAATTCAATGACAAGAATTAGGTTCAAATCTAGTTAAAAATAGAACTTAGGGAGGGCACTCCAAAAACACATAAATGGTAGTAACATTAAGCACAAGTCGCATAAATGATAATAAACCAAAGTTAAAGTGTTAGACTACCTTGACGGCAGGGTCGCATGTCGCACGTCATGACCAGCAAGTTTATCCAGAGAAGAAGAAAAACGAGATCCAAAAGGTGGGAGCATTCTTTTAGAAGGTATATCTCCAAAGGCTCTCATGTCGTTCTGAAAATAAGCTTAAACCTCAATTAATCATGGAAAATTTAGAATGGATTTTTTAAAATGCAAAAGAAAAAGATTAAAAATTTGATATTACTATAAAGGCCTAATCACCTTTTCCACTTCCATTGAATTTCCATCTGTTCCGGATTTGGATTGCCTAAAGTTACTTAGCTCACCACCTTTAAATCCATGACTGTTATGCTGCACAGAAGCCTGTGGTTGTGTCGCATGGCTTGTTCCAAAAGAAGGTTCCACATCTATATCGAAATTCCCCATTGGATGGTACTGGAATCTACGAGTTACAGATGGCTTTCGAACGGTATTACCTCCTACTTTCTGTTTGCTTCCAGAAGAAGTTTGTGTATCACTAGCATTTGAGTTTTCAATCTCATGCATTTCAGTCGCACCCTTCTCCAGACAACTGTTCCCAGGTGATTCCAATATTTGAGAACCCTTATCAAGATGATGCTGGTATTTTGCCGGAAAAACACTTTCCTTTAAGTCCATTGAAGAAGTAGCATCTTTCCAAAAAGAAAGGTTACGATTACTTGGATTTTGTTGCCTGCTTCCTAGGTCATCTCTTGAACTACTAGCATTAGCTACTGCAGCATTGTTTATTAGACTAGAACCTTCATTGTACACTTGCGAGTTTTCAACAGCAGGATTTGCACGCTGCAATTCATCAGTTGGGTTAGGAACTGAATCATGATTCTGCTTAAAAGTAGCAGAACCCATCTCTTCACGTATAGATCTCTTATGATCTCCACTCTGAGAAGTTTGTGACATGTTATGATTTTCATGATTTTTCATACTGTTACCCCCATGGGAGAACATCGGTTCAATATAGCTCCAACCATTAGGCTTACAAGGTTGGCTATTATAAGAGGATACATTCTGTTGATGGATCCAAGAACCTGACATATTATCTGCATTAATTTCTACACCTGAAATATTACCTTCATTTTCAGACAAGTTTCGACCTTCACAAAGTGACTTCTGTGGTAGATTACGATCTATCCATTTTCTTTCACCTTCCAATGATGGGGGAGTTAAACTTTGGGAACTGTTATTCTGAAAGCCTTCAGTTTGTTGAAAGAATGTTCTTTGGCCCGGTTGCTGAAATCCAGAGACATTGGCCGAGTTAACATAATTGTTGGACCTATTATTAGCCTCAGCAGAGGCAGAAGAATGTCTAGAATTCAATGTTTGTAAGTTGTTGTCAACCCAAACAGGTTGCAGTTTTCCACCGTCATTAGCATCTGAAGGCTGCTGATTCCCATTTGAAGGCCCACTATTATGAGTGTTAAGACCACCCCACCCTTCTTGTACCCCCACATCGCCACTTGAAGTTTCTGCCACAGCGGACTGCATCAAAGCACTCCAACTTCCACTCTGTAAAAAGGAATATCCAGAATTAAAATCACTAGCATCTGTCATATTATAACCACCTGACGAAATGTTATCAGTCCTGCCAAAAGCATCCCACAAATTGTCATCTGAACCATACAAAATTTTTTCTTCAGTGGGATCTAACGTAGCCACATTCTGTGATGGAGCAACCTGTGCCATTGTCTTCTCCTGTGACACTTCTGATCGACCATCAAACTCTTGTCTGCTACTAAATTCCTGCATCGATGCATTTCTCTGTTGGAGATTCACATGCTGCAAGTTTTCAGAATTTAATCCACCATTTAAACCTTGACTTGACATGCCAAACATACTTTTCCCCTGGAAATCCTGTCTCACAGCCATTCCATCTTGCATGCTAACCTGATCTGGGTATGCAGTATAATGGCTCCCCAAAATGGGGTTGTTACTGACAGATAACTGCTGCATAGCAGGTTTATCTGATGGAATGGGAGAGTTTGAACCTAGAAAACTACTTGCAGAAGAAATAGGAACCCCATACAAGGATTGATCGACTTGTTCAGGAATTAAACCCATGAGGCGCAGTGCTTGTTGCTGCTCGGAAGGAAATCCAAATCCACTAGAGGGGCCCTGCATTGGTGTAGACAAACCATGTTGCAATGAGTTTGCATTATTCACCATATGCTGGGGCTGCCAAGGAGAGGTAGATAACTCGTTAACAGGAATACCATCAATCAGTGTGGCTGAATGGTTTCCTGCTGCCTGCTTTGAGTTGGATGACATCTGATTCATTGAAACATGTTGTCTTGCTTCCTGCTCCTGAAATTGGTGTTGCCTCTGAAGTTCTTGTATATGTGACAGAATTGCTTGTTGTTGCAGTAGCTGCATGTCAGGATTCCCAGGCTGCTGCTTGGGCAAAATCTGTGTCACACTGGAATTCCTGCCACTCAATTGCTGTTGACCTCCGAAAAAATCAAAATTTACAGGAGAATCAGTATTTTCCAACCTAGCTACATTTTTCTTGCTTAGTTCAGGATTATTCACTTGTTGTGCTTCATGAATAGATAGGCCTCTTGGTGTTATATGCCTATCAGATACTGTATCTGCACCTAAAAAGTTCGCTTCAATCTGCCTTGCATGGATAAGTTGATGTCCTGCTGCATAACCATTCAGAGTTTGATGTTGATTTTGAGACTCGCTTCTTCCAATCTCAGGACTTATATATGATTGTGAGAAGTTCAAACCATGAAGTGAGTGAGAAGGCTGACCCAGTCCTCCAGAATCTGCTAGGGAAAAATAAAATAAAAATTTAGTAGATTCTTTAAAAAAAAATGAGGAATAATGATGCTCTATCCACACACACACACACACACACAAAGAGTAAGAAAGAAAGAATGAAAGAAAGAACCAACTCATGAAGAAACTATAAAGTAGTACCTGGTTGATGTGCATTATAATTCTTCAAATTTGAAATAAAAGGAGAACTAATCTCTCTCTGGTTTCTAACCCATAGATTGTTACTTAGACCAACCCAGCTTCCATCAGCAGCCTGAGACTGATGTTGGCCCTGATACAGATTCTCTTGTCCAAAGAAATTGTGGACCCTGTCTCCAACTTCGTTTCCAGGCATAGATGGTCAAGCCCACTGATCTGCTGGTAATGACTTTTGGTGTGAAGATAGGTACCTAGAAGCAAAAACAGCAGTTAAGAGCTATTGCAAATCCCTGCCTCCTACAGAAACCACATGTGGAAATTTCTCAAGTACGATTGTCGTTAGAAACGTACCCTCTTTTGGTCATTTAAGATTCCTCAGAATTGCCATATGATGGAACCCCTGAATAGTATCCTGCATAAGCCACTCCAACACATTATACTAACGTGAAGATAGATTTTAAGGCAGGAGAGAAACTAGCAGGGAGTTGCAATTTAAAGATGGATAATTTCTCATTAATTTTCCTACTCAAGGAAGAGGGAGTACAATTGATATTGATTAGGGCTCACCTCAGAAAAAGAAATTGTGTTTCCTACATGGTATTTCCTCCAATACAACGTATATTCCCATCAAAACAATGTAAATAAATCATAGTGAGTAGTTAAATTACATAATAGCCATGTATGTAGTATCCATTTAAGTCATAACACTTGAAACCATTTTTAATTGATGTAACATTTTACATTAAGAATAATGAAAACAGGAGAAAGGACCAGAAAAACAATGGCCAAACAAACACTCTGGGCCATGAGTAAAAAAGTTTTAAATAAATATAAATACACACACACACACACACACACAAATTGTATAAAGAGGACCCAATCAATTTGATAACCATAAGTCCCAGTTTATAGGTTGTTGATTTATGTATTTTCCTAGACCTACTTGTAATCATTAGAAAATGTAAATTGTGCTATCCACTTAACCTAGCAACAACCAAGTGGTGTCCATAGTTGCACGTCATTTTATAATTGAAACTTGAACTTTTAACCTCGACCAGACAGAAAACCACCCAAAGGCACAGAATTATTTCACTCTTCAGGACACTGAACTCCCCATACTTTTTTGCCCTCGTCTCTTGCCTAACTTGGAGTTATATAGATATCCCCAACGCCATCTTAAGTCTTTATATAAGAGAAATAAAGGCTCCAAAGCTCCAGAGAATAAGAATGGCTAAAAGTCTCTTCTGTGATTGCACTTAAAAGTCACATTTTAACCCTTTTAAAGCAACCTGAGTTTGGAGTTCAAATTTCTTCTATATTTTCAGGTTTGTGGTCTTCATTATTTACCAAGGTTTTAGCTCACCTTTTAGAATGTTCTTAGACTAACATGGACTTTAGATTTCCACCTTAGTATTTCCAAGTTCTAGACATTATGAATATCTTCATTCGTCTATTTTATGAGGTAGAGAGAGCATCCTTATTCTTCTTCGCTACCAGGGTCTAGAGTTAATAGAAAAGGAAAATCTTTTTGTTCAACGTCAACAATAGTTCTGAAGGTGTGGTTGGTTTCCGTGCTTATAACAAAACCAGAAAACAAAAACATACGGTATTCAGTATTGCTAATTTTCATTATAAAAACACCAAGCCCAACTTGAATGTAACAAAGCCAATACAGACGGGAATATTAAATGGAAAGAAATCCGGCCACGAACATCGTCAGAAGAGATCGGAGGTATACCTTCTAACATCATTATATCTGCACTCCATAAAGTGCAATTGAGATGCATGGTTATTGATTGTAGCCTTATAAACTATGCAATCAGATACTTTAAATGAAAGTTACCCAAAGTTTCTAACCCAAACATGTATGGGATCCTAACGAGAACTGACCTGCTGGTTGAACTCATTTTTCATGCTGGCGAAAACAAAGAAATAAGGACCATAAAATTAATAATGTCCTCGTGAAATAACAATATGAGTAGAACATTTCCAGGGATACCAATATTTCCACGAGCCATAGGATAGACATGACTGCATATTTTCTCAATATACGTCGGTAGACTCCAGATATCACGTCTCTATTACAGAACCAGAGAACGAACGTAAGAACCAAAGGTGGTTTCAATTTGCAAATACCTTTTTTTGCGGTGCTTACGGACCACGATCAAAAGAATACAACTTTGCATTGTAAAATTTTCTTTCCCGGATGCTAGAAAAGCTTACCAAACACGTGAAAAGCAAAAAATACGAAAATGGGGATGGGGATCGAGAGACGCCATGTTGCGCTGACACAGGCAACAACACTAGACTCGTCTGGAAACTTCATTGTCTACGAGGGTAAGTAAAAGACGACATAAATAAAACCAATCCCTTTGCTTCCTCCTCCATTTTTTCAGACAACCAAACAGGTGCAGAAGCCACAAATTTTCTCCAGATTAAGCCAAGGCGAGGGAGCAAAACCACTGAGCAAGCTGTAACAAGCTGCCCGACCCGAAGACACCAACAGTAGAGCACCTATTTACTATTTCCCAAAAGAAATGACCCCCGGAAAAGGAAAAATTAGGGTTTTAAAAGAGAAAGCGGGAGACAACGAACTCACACTGATTTGATGAGCTTGCGTACAAACTTGAAAGCGATCCTGTGATAATGCCGGATTGTGGAGTGTTAGGGTTTGAATCAGAGAGAGATACGAGTATATGAGCCTCCCCGAGCTCAGAGAGAGAGAGATAAAGTGATCGAAAGAGTGCGAAAATTTCAACGAACTGGGGCACAGAACCGAGGTTCGGACCGAATCTGAGGCTCGGGATGGATGTGGATGATTTGGGTCCGAAACTGAGCCCCGACTACCATAGCCATCGCCATTGCCCTTGTCCAATGAGGTACTGCGAATCCATGTTTTTCTTCCTCCCAATTATGAGCTTTTGCACGTGACTTTAATATTTACCCATCTTTTTCAATTTCACGCCAATTTTTTCATTCTCTAAAACCCTTTCCCAGTTTCCCTCCCTCCAAATAATGCACACAAGATACACAATAGGTATCAAACTCATTATCATCATTGGGCTTGTCCGGTTCAAAAAATTCGTCGGCCCAAGCCCAGTTATCTTTAGTGCATTTTAGACCTAGCATGGGTTGGTCCAACCTCTAAATCGGTCCAAAGCCCAATTCATAGATTTTGATTGTTGCTTCTTAGCGTAGATTCCCCGTTTTTCGTTTCTCCGGTCCGTGGGAGATTTGAACTTCCGTTATTTTGATCGACTTTGATTCATGTGAGTTAGAACTCGACATTTTTTAGTTTGAGACATGTGACTTACTATATTATGTCAAGGTTGACAAATTTTATTCAAATTGGTTTGCTGATTAACTGTTAAATGAAATATAGTTCGCTAAAGCGAGCATAGCTCAACAGTAATTGACATATACTTTCGGCTTCGATTCATTCTTATGTTGTACTTTCAAGACGTTCATTTTGATCCAAAATATACGTTTTGGTTCCTGTTTACGAAATTATAACATGAACTTGATGGCTGTCAATTAAATTTGTGCATGACATGTCGTACTTGTATAAATAAGATAAAAAATCCGTTTTTTTTATTTTTTTTAGTACAACAAATAAGGTGGAGATTTAAACTCATAACCTACTGCTGTCGGATTTTAGATGTATAGAGATAAAAATTAACTTTTTGAATGTCAAACAGGGGAAAAAAAAAGAAGTAACATTTTGAAAGTACAAAAACGAAAATTGAAAAAATGAGTCCATCAAACTTTAATGTTGCAAAAGTACGATGATTAAAATTATCGAATATTTAGATTACATGGATTAAAACAATATTCAAAACCTCTAGTAATTCAATATTGAATCTATTAGTTTACATTTTGTTTAATACATCTGTTAGTTTACATCGATAATGTGATATTTCCCAAAAGATAGTCTATATGATTTTGTGCAAATGCACGTATTATGGACTGATAAATAATTAAATATACATGTCCATATGCTTTAGGGCTAAACGTTGATTAAAGCTAACCAAATTTTATATTATATGACGAAAGCATCAACAAAAAACATTAATAAATTATCGTAAATGCAAACATAACATGAACAATAACAACTATTTTGATAATATTTGTATAAAACACAAACTACTTATTCACCGATTAAAATACTTGTTATTTCATCCCATAGACATTTTCATGTAATTTGGAACCCAGTGCCAATGTTAGTGACCCATATTAAAAACTACCAACAATACCATAAAACATGATATTAAGCAACCGACAATAAATATTTTGCAATGTTTTAATAAATAGGAAAATATAATATCGATTAATACTAGTAAAGCCAAATAAAATAGAGAAATATCAAACTTTACCCATAAACTTAACAGTTTATAATGATGTATTAATTTTCACAACGATTTTCAAATTAACGAGTCAAATGATAGACTTGGACAATTATGACAAATTTTTCCTATTACCAAACTTTCATAAAATCACACAACAAATTTCAACGAAAAATTATAGCTCACAAACTCTAGTCGTACTAATAAATCCAATCATAAAACAAATTTTTTTCTGCAAAGATAATGGAATAAATATTACAAAACTCATTCAATAAAGTTCCTACAAAATTTATGTTTCATAATTCCAATGAAATTATATAAATTGCAGTACTCAAATTTAAAGTAAAAAAGGCAAAACATTTTATATAAGCTCCACAAAGGCGTACAAATTGAAACACAAACGATAAATTTGATTTATTTCAAACTAAAAATTTTAGTTGGGTTATAAAACGAAGTTGTAAGTTCGAACCTCATTTTGGACCTATTATATTAAAAAAGCTTTACCGTGGTTGATTTGACTAAGAAGCCCCAGCGTTGAAGCCATAATTACTGCGTGGAGCTGACGTGCCAAAAACCTAATGGCTACAAGACAAGAGAGGAGGAATCAAGGGGAAAAGAAGGTTAAACGAGAGCAGAAGAACAGAGAAGAAAGAAAAGGCAGATCCCGGTAGGCAATCCCTCGTAACATCGAGCCCTTGGAGCTATCCGGAGTTGGAATTATTCGTTCTCCGGTAAACCTACAGAATCGGGCCAATTAGAAGGCGAACAAACAGCGAGATGGGGGAGGAGAAGAGGCACCAAATGATGCAGAATCTCTTTGGAGATCAGTCCGAGGAGGAAGAAGAGATTGATTCCGAGCACGAGTCCAATCCGCAACCCAATTATGCCTCCGTACTTCCCTCTATCTCTGTCTATCGATTTACTTCCGTTCTTGAACCTTGGTAGATTGACGCCGAGGAATTGAATTCCGGATAGAAGTTGCCATGTGTATTTGTTATTTATTCGATGCTATAATCAACATGCCACTTGAATAAAGCCAATGGTCATCAAAAGACTGATAAAGTGCATGAGCCAATGAGAATTAATAAGTGTTTTGGCGTTAATTTGCAAGGAAATGGTAGTATTAGGAAAATGCATTGATTTAGGCTTATGGGCAGCTCTATAGTTATCATGGATACTAAGTGCTCTTTGGAATTTGGTTTTTCTGGGATAAGCTGCTTTAACGTTGTTCTGCACGTTTTCCAGGACGAAGGGGAAGGAGGGGCGGAGCCTGAAGGCGTAGGTGAAGTGGAGGGACATGGGGAGGTGGAAATCGAGAGTGAAGCTGAGTTGCAGGATGTTGATCCGGATCCTGGAGAAAGTGAGGGTGAAAGGGATCAAAGTTCTCAAGAAGTAGACGTGGGTCACCACAGAGAAGAAGAAAGTGAAGGGAAAGAGGTGGATAGCGACGACAGGGAAGAATATGGTCAAAGAGTGGCAACTAGCAGGAGGCATGATTTAGTTGAAAGTGAATCCGAGAGGTCTGAAGAAAACAATTATATTGACAACGAGGACGAAGAGGTGGATCAAACTAGGAGTCCAAGGTAATGCAAGCATATTTACCCCCTCCCCACATTTCATTCCAGTTGTTCCCGACATCTTGTGATATTTTCAAGCATTATAGCCTCATGACCTTATAAAATTTCATCGGCACTGTATGCACACAGCAGCAGTTCTCTCCTTACTTTTCTTTGATAAGAAACCAAACGGAAAAGGTGGGAGCAACTTTCACCAAAGAAGTGCACAAACAATCACTTCAACCAGCTATAATCAAAGGAGTATTGTAATTACTATAATGGGAGATAGAGTACACCAGGAAGAGTCCGTGACCTTAACTCCCATCCAAGTTTTCCCCCGTCCTCTTTAGCTCAGCTTTCTCTAACGTGGCAATTTCATTACAACCAAACGTTCCAGAATCAGCCTTAACGCTACAAGGACCAAAGCATGTTTACTTTTCTTTTGAAGGGATTCCATAAAGGAGCTACTTCATAGATGTGATAGATCATAACTAGAAGTTGTATTACGTTAGATACATCTAGGTACCTCATTTATCAATGGATCTAAGCTACTTTTGCCATCATTGTAAACTTGAATTTCGGACTGTTACAGGGAGGAGAGGGATCACAATTCGCATCCAGTTGCCGAAATTCGTGATGTATTTGGCGACTCTGATGAAGAAGATGAAGCAGAATATGCTGTCGAAAATGATATTAAGCAAGATTCAGCCGTGAGTAATAGATGTTCATTTGCAGCGATAAATAATTTCTGATTGCTGAGCTGTAAGGTATTTGTGATTCCATGATCATAACGGTTGTGAGTATTATTTCAGAGGTCACCTATCGAAGAGGAGGGTAGCTTTGAGAAGAGTCCAAGACCAGAGGACATAATTCCTGATGAAGATGCTCGGTATGAGTCAGATGCTCGTTATGAATCAGAAGAGGAAAATTTTGAGGTAAAACATAAAGAGAAGCCGGTTGGGCCTCCGTTGGAGCTGGAGATTCCATTACGTCCTCCTCCTGCTCGCCCAGCGAAGGTTTTCCCATAACCTATAATGTATTTAATTGTCATTTGATACAATTTTTATCTCGCACTACCAATTTTGCATGCTTATCTGATGTCTGGAGTGAAATGCTACGTTGTGTAAAATTGGATTCTGGGTTGATCAAAGATGCTCTGTGTGCTGTGTGATAACAATTTAAGGGTTTTTTTTTCATGCTTGAATTTTTGTTATATGTATAACTATTTTTGAGATTGCAAAAGATTTTATCACAGGAGCTCTAAATTATGAGATTGTGACAGCATTTCAAATTGATTGCAGATGAACATGATAAAAGTTTCCAATATTATGGGCATTGATCCGAAACCATTCGATCCCAAAACATATGTGGAAGAGGATATATTCGTGACAGATGAGTCTGGAGCTAAGAAACGTATACGCCTGGAAAATAACATTGTTCGATGGAGGAATGTTAGGAAACCTGATGGCACAGCAAGCGTACGTTTTATAGCATTCTTCATGCCATTGATTTTTCATGATGGATTATCATTTTAATTGCTTCTAGTAGAGCATGATGAATTATATTATAGTAATATTTTGTAGTATTATCTTTTATTATTCTTTTACTCCAAATGAGTGTTATCCCAAATTTGGTGGGGGGAGTATAATTAAGATGCTCACTGAGATTTAATATATTTTCAGGCATCCCTAAAT